ACTCGGGCAAGTAAAGAGGAAGAAAAAAGTGAAGAATTATTCTTTGTGCCACACTTGCAACGGGCTCCTTTGTGCCATGCGCCGCAACAAAGGGCAACGTGCACCGCGGCGCACGGGCAAAATTTTTGATAAATCAAATTGCGTCTATGTGAGAAAACAAAAGAGAGAAGAGGAAGAAAATGAAGAGAACATTGGAGCTTTGCTAGGGCACGTTCATTCGCTCCCATTATTGATGTTTTAAAGCTCCCAAACCCTTAAGGTTGGTAACCTAAGCATCATTCTTCCTTTCTCTCCCTCATTTATGATGATTTATGGTATTTGGGAGATGGATTTTTAGTCCATAGGAGTATGGGTCTAATTTCATTAGTTAAAATAAGTGTAATAGGAGTTATTTAATGTATTAGAATACCACATTGATGATTTTGGAAGTGGTTGGTCCATGGAAGCATTTAATATCCAAAAAAATTGATATAAATAAGGTAGTTGGGAGAGGCTAATGTGCATTAATGATGTTTGAGGTGTTGTTAATAATAAGGTGCATTAATGGAATTTAATGAGCCTATTGGGTATGAATGGGTGTGATTATGAGTTAATAAAAAAATAGTATGTGTAAAGTTATATGTTGATAAAGCTTGGACAATGATGATATTTTTATGGTATGGATGTAGTGAGGTTCGTTTTTAGCATCATTCGAGCTTGTTGAAGCTTTGGGAAGTTGGTATAGTGAGAAGTAAACCTTTGACCTCTTAAAGATTTAAGATAACCAGGGAAAACTTAATCTTTATAGTTAAATGTTAATTGTGTCTGTGAAATGTGAATTATATTTTAGATTAATGATACATATTAACAAAGTGTGTGATTTGTGAAATGGTTTTAAAAGGATAACTTCTATTATGCCACCCTTATGTTTTGTGAAATTGTTTATAATTTGCTATTATGGGTGGAGAATTGGGTTGTATTATGTTGATTTTGTGGAGTAATTGAATATGGTTATATAAGAATATTTGCCTTGAATTAATTCTTGAAAATGCATAATATGTGAGAAATGTGCAAAGCATGATCATTAGCGGGAGTTCGCCTAGGGAAAGGAGTATATTGATTTAAATCCACGTGGTATTAGCAGTAATCATTGGAATCGAGAACTAGCCTTAGCACTAACTATTGGAATTGGGAGGTAGCCCTTGTCCTATTGTTGATTTAGGACTGTCCCACTTGTTTTAAGAGGAACTTGAACCTAACTAATCTCCACCAGTTCATGAGGAGGATAGATTAAGGGTAAAACACCCTATGGTTATTAGTACTGGGGAAACCGAATTACATAAGTAAGTGAGTTCGCCCTGGCTTGGTAGCTCTTTACAAGTAAAAGGCTGGGTTAGTCTATGAAGGACGTAACCATGTGATAGCCACCAATTTCATGTCATAGGTAATAGGAGGATATAAGGTTGACATATAATCATACATATAAGTCTGGCCACATGGTTGTTAGTTTTGTGATTCGGCATGTATTGAGGGTGCATGATTGTTATTTTTGCAACCCTGTGTCATGTTTTACAAAATAATATGATAAGTGTATTGTGGCAAGCCCGGTCACATGGTTGTTAGTTTTGTGAACCGTGGCTGAATGCTATATGTTATCTATGCTTTTTTACCTAATTGCATCTATTTACAATTGATATGCAACTATATGGGCTAAGTGAAATTTGGTTACTGAGTGGTTGTACTCACCCCTCAATTCTCAATATTTTTAGGACCTAACTCATCCGATCCGAGTTGGGAAAAATATACAGAGGCCTAGATTATGGCGTAATCCTCCATATGCCTCTCTTTTGTTACCTTCATGTGTATTTATTAATGTAATTGCCAATTAGAATTAATTGACATGCTTTATACACTATTTGCATGATTTTGTGCATACTAGTGTACTTTGTGCCCTAAATTAGTGAGTTTTGGTTGTGATCCTGTGGATAGGGCCAAAATACTTGTGCAAGTAGAAACATATGTATTTTGAGAAATTTAGAATGAAATTATTGATTTTGTGCAACATTTCCTCCCCCTTTATGTTTTTGTGAAAATCGGGGTTGAGTGGTGATTTTATGGGATAAGTGTTTTTGATTGTGTGTGGTGCGTTGCACGAGTCTGCAAGAGTCCATTGAGTGTGGTTGGATAGTTGGTGTAAGCTATTGACATATGTGATTGAGTTGGGACACTCCATTTGTGAAATTTTGTGAAAACTGGTCAAAATGGGTTTTGATGTTCAACTTTTTATAGAAAATAAACTTGAGTGTAAAACCAGTGTCATTAGCTAAAGTTAGGAGAAAGCTCTGTGTAGACACCAAAACCACCTCAATTAGACGTCGAACGGAGATTTAGAATGCGTCAAAAGTTCGCTCCCTATGCTGTCAAATGATAGCATTAATGCTGTCAAATTTCGTGCAATGCGTCGCGGTGCATAGCGTCTCATGTCGCGGTGCATATGCTGTAAGCTGCAGCACACGAGTCATTTTCTACACAAAAACTTTTTTTGAGTTTTAAAACTCATTATTTTGGATTCTAATTGATTTCTAAGCTTCTGCTTTACTTTCAAAACTTTGATACGGACTTATCAAATAATATTTGAGATTTGAATTATTGAAATTAGGATTCCTTTAAATGAATTTTGAGAAATTCCTTTTATAAAACTCTATAATTTGATAATCCTTGAGGGTTAAACTTTAGGTTGTCATGATTTATAGTCAATTGTGATTTAGTAAGAGAGACTTTATCGTTTAGTCTCTGGGTTCTTACAGAGTTATAGCCATCATAGTCTGAATAATTTGGTTCGATTTTATATTTTTTTTATCAAAAAACTTTAATTCAATAGATAATAGGGGGAGAGAGTGTGTGTATTAAATAAAAACATAATCAACTAACTTTTTTTTTAAAAATAAAGGGATTAACATATAATTTAGACCCTAAATTATAGGTTAAAGGGCTAGTTAAACCTTCAATTTATATTTAATATATTTTGAATCCTAAATTATTAAACTTAAAGCAATTTTACCTTTATCGTTAAATTAAAACGTCTGTTCGTTACTTTTTAAAAAGTGGAGACTAACGTATAATTTTTCCACTCTTCCTTTCCCTCCTACCTTCCTTAAAGAAACATTATACATTAGGTCCTAATTTTTTCCAAAAGCAACGAAAATTTGTTTTAATTTAATAATGAGGTGAAATTGTCCTAAGTATAGTTGTTTAAGGTTTATAATGTATCAAATACAAGTTTAAGATTTAAATCACTTTTAAACCTATAATTTAATGTCCAAATTGCATATTAGCCCAAAATATATTAATAAAAAAAGAAAAATAAATTTAAAGATTACATTTTTATTTTCACAAATCACTTTTTAACATTTAATCATTCATGAAATAGAGTAAATAATTTTTTGGCAAAATAGAGAAGTAAATTGATGGAGAATCTACAACGATTTTTTTCATCATAATAGTAGGGCTGATTTTTTTTTTTATAAATAAAGTAGAGTTTATCTTTATTTTAGTGAAAAGTGATTTTTGGAAGAAAAAAGTTGAATGAAAACCAAAACGTATATTTTCTTAACGAAATGATTTTTTTTTTTTATTGCTGACTGCTAAACCAAAACAAGCTCTTAGCAGCGCCTGAGTTTTCTTTTCATAATCAGAAATACAACATTTTTCTCTTTTTCTGCCAGAAAATACAATATTTTTCAATAAATATGTTTTCTTAAAAAAATAATACTACAATTTTTTAAGTTAAAGAGTTTCACTAACTATTAAGGAGATCCAAAAAAATAACCATGTTATTTTCAAATCGCGAATAATAATTATTATGTAATTTAAATTTTTAAAAATAAAAGTTTTTTAGTTAAATATTTTCGCAAACCTTTATTGCATAAATTTTTTTTGACTGAAACATTTATTGTACAAGTGACCTGTATTAAATGCTGACGTGCTGGAGGGATCAAAAGTCAAAACTAACGTTGATCAATGAAACCTAAAAGCATTGTTTTGAGTGTACTATTGAAACTCATCCATATAGTTAGACCAGTTAAATTATCAATTAGACTCGTTAATGACTAGAAGCCCGTTTTGGTAAAATTAAAAAATAAATAATTTTTAAATAGTTTAAAGATTTTATAAAAAGTGATTTATTTTATAAAAATTTAAAAAAATTAAAAAATATTTTGTGTTTGATTACAATCATAAAAAATCACATTTTACTTAAAAAGTGATTTTTAATTCTTTGGATAAAACAATGTAAAAGTACTTTTTGTGGTTAAATTATAAACATGTTTGGATAAAAATGTTCTTTTAATTTGTATAAAAATGTTCTTTTAATAAATTTATAGATACTTTAATAATATTATTTAAAATAAATTATTCCAAACTCTAATTCATCAAAGTAAACGTCAAAGTTTTTATGGACATTGAAAAGACAAAACAAAAAACAAAAAGAAAAAAAAAGCTGGCAGCACTTTCATCTTAACAACCGAGCTCTAATACAATTTCTTATTTCTATTATATATCTGACATCTACTTATGTGGCATCTCACCATTCATCATGACCAAGTGCATTATTATCATTCCCATCGTTAAAATATCATTCTCTATCCAGTATCTCATTTAGATTTTTCAAATTTTGAAAAATATCCAAGTCAAATAAGTCCATCCTTCTAATGTAGCTTTGAAGAGCAAAGCATGCCCATATGATGGAAATTTGAGTAGCAAGCTTGAAAGTGGTTATATTTTGCAATATTTTTTACATGGCCTTGCAAACACCAAAAGTTCTTTTAATAGCACTTCTTAAACTAGAATGATGATACCTTTTATTCCTATATGGTCCTAGAAAATTTTTGAATGATGGATATCTTGAGTCAATGAGATAATTTTTACTTATACATAAATAGAAAATGTATTAAACAATATTACATAAATATTTATAAATTACTTAAATATCTTAAGTTATATAATACTAACCTTTAGGAAGATAAGGGAATCGTAAATGTGATTTATGAAGGGTGTCTATAAAAATACATGCATCATGAATAGACCCTTTCCAGCCATACAATACAAATATAAAACACATTAAAATCACATATAACCATCACATTTGTGCTTGTATATCCTTTCCTATTATAAAAAGGTATATGCTTTTTTGCTAGGACATGTATACCAATATGAGTGCCATCTATTGCCCCTATGCAATCTTAAAATAAGGCCAATATTGATCATCATCTTTTATATGTTGAGAACTAGCAATGTGCATTGGATCAATGGGTCTAATTACACGATTGCCTAACTTATACATAACTATTAAAACTCTTTTGAAATGGTTATGAATGGGTTGGCCAGAGTGCTTAAATTATTCTTGAACTTGTCTCTATGTGGCTCCTCAACCTATGATATACAAGAATAAAGCAATACTATCATCCACTCTAATGTGTTTGGTAGGTGCTAGTCCATAATTATTGGTTAACTCCTAAACTAATCGTTGAAACACATGTTTTCTCATTCAAAATTGCTCAAAAAACTTGTTACCATTTCCCCTTATCAACTCTACTAGCCACCTGTGACCAACAAGTATTCAAGTAGTTTTCTTTTCTTTTACAACATACTTCAACACATGATTTATAACTAAAAAAGTAGCCAAATTCGTTGCTCTTTGAAGTACATATTTATAAATATTTTGGACTTCAATTTCCATCATAAAATCATCATCACTTACATTTGAATTATAAGTCATCTTGGAAATATAAATGTAATCAATACAAATTGAACAAATATATATATAATTTTGAATAAATAGTACCAAATGTTTCATAAGTCAAATGAATCAAATAAATATAAAGCATGTGCATTATTATAAATTCAACATATGAGCAAAGTGACATATAAAATAGGTCCACTCAACAAGTATGTAGGATGTCCTCATGTGTGAAAGTGTTTAGCCAATTGATGGTCATCTCTCGATCATTGTCCATGAAGTGACAAAATGCTATCTTATTTTCTTTGTTGGCTAGAATTCTCACAGCCAAAAAATATTGATTTGTTCCTTTTACCAAGTTTGGAACCTCATTTAACATTGATAAGCACTTGTCATAACTAAATGGATCATTTAGTTTTGATTTTCCAATAGTAGCATTTGACACTTGATCCATTCCATCAAGAATATGATCTAAAGAATTTTGAAGTTTCTTGGCTATTCGAAGTATTTTTTGTCTCCTTTGCTCGTCCTCTTCCTTTTTTTGTTTGAAAGATTTGGAAATGCATTTGCTTGAGCTTTATGACTAGCTTCGCAACTATTGCATCATCCTTACTAGCCAAATTTTGTTCATTATGTTCAACACCCTCATCATGATAATCCTCACTGTGAATATTAGTTCCTTCATATGATAGGGAATTTTGATATGGAATTAAAAGAGTTAATTCAGTAGCTACCGTGCCATCAAAACCCTTATCTTGCAACTCTAACAATTTAGACCGCTCGTTCTTCCATTTCAAAATCTCTAGATTCTCTTGTAATAAAAATTAAAATAATAAATAAATAAACCATGTAAGTTAAAAATTATATATTAAATAAAAACAAAATCATACCTTGCTCTCATTAACACATCATTTTTCAAGAGCTTCTATGGTTTGTTTTTCATGATTCTATCCAAGACTAGTTTCCTTTCTAACCAACCTTATAAATGATCCAAAGTCCTTTTTTAAAGTATCCCATCTATTTTTTAACTATGTGCGATCATAAGCACATCCTATTCTCCCATAAAATTTGTCAATAAGGCTCTTCCATCCATCTTTATTAAAATATGTATTTGGCTTATTTTCAGCAAGTATCTCTTCGACACATATTTTTAAAAATATTTCATTTTTCTTATCATCCCATTTTTCCTTATCTCTTCCATCCCCTTCGGAATCTCTCATGTCTTTTTTGTGTGCCATTCTTATATTTAAAAAATATAGCTACACATTGATTAGATTCAGTAAGAAGAAGAAAGATGAAAAATTAAACATGTTAACAATATATATATATATATATATACCATAACGACAACCAGCTGGCTATGTGTTGCTGCAGAGTTTGATCGATACTGATCCGGGTCATAGCAGAACATGAAAGGTTCTCAGTCCTCTTTCATGCTGAGATTAACAAGCCGGCAGTCTCAAAAGCCTGGCTATAAACCTTTCACAGAACCACTTCCTTCAGACCAGCACAACACAGCCTTCCTTCGTTTCCTACTGGAGGCGTAGTCATAACAACACATAACCAGTAATTCCCCTTACAGGATCATTACGGAAATTCAAAACTTTTGTTAAGTATTAGATAATAATCCCCCCTTAACCCCTAAACAAGAAATTACTCAGCCATACCTGTTAATCTTCAATACTTGCAAAGGAGGAAATAAATGAACAGAATACTTTTATTGAAATTGAGAAGGCAAGGTTACAAGGAGGCAGAGAACTCAAGTGCTCAAAGAGGCTCTGAGGTTCTCAGCTCTTGTTGGATGTGTCTTGCCTTAGAGATTACATGGCTTTATATAGAGTTGGCATTCCAACCCTGATTACATAACCTTAGTTAATTTTAACTCTAATAATTATAACAAGACAAAACTACTTTTGACAAAATGAAAAAGCTAATCTTAGACCACCTAGACTTTTTGACAAAATGAAAGGTTAAAGTAATTATTACAAGAGACATAATTATTACAAGAGACATAATAGGCTTAGGCTTTTCTTTTTAGCTTTTAGTCTTTTTGACTTTCTCTTCTTCCATCTTCTTCTATCTTCTTCAGTCTTCTTTTTTCTTGTCGGCAGGCTAAACCTTATTAATAAGTAAAGCCTTAATAGATACTGAAATTAATAAATAATCATTTAAAGATGAAGTAACAGAAATATATATTACTGAAGTGCAATTATTAATAAAAGCTTATTTTCAAGAAAGAAGAAATTCACCAATAGAATTATTAATAACTGATGGAAGAATAATTAGTAGTGTTGAAGATAGTATTTTAGGAATATTAACTGGAAATCTAATATATCAAAAATTAAAATTTACAGTAAATACTAATTTTTGTATTTCAAGAGCTGATGAAAATATGAATAAAACCTTGTGAATATATCATAAACTAGGAGGAATAAAATTATTACCAGGATCAAGAACTGTAAGTATAACTGCTATGATAGGATTAGTATTTACAAATGAACATAAGATTTATAAAAGAAATAAAGGTAAATTAACAATTGACAAACATTTTATGCCTGTATTACAAGAGATAGAATTAGATCCAACCAGAATAACAATACCTGAACAATTAAGATTAGAATTAGATAATAAAATAAGATATTATGAAAATGAAAATAATTCAAGAAGATTGATAGCCAATGACAATATAGGATAAAGAACATTAAGAATAAGTACACCAACATTAAATATTAATATAAATCAACCTAATATGAGAAGAAGTTTTAGTTTTGAAGAACCAAGACCCAGTACAAGTAGAGGAATATCTAGACAAGAGAGATTATTATTAAGATCTAGAACTAAGACACCTATAAATTCAAATTTAGAATCAATAAGACCTACAACACCAATACAAAACAATAATTTTATAGCTATACAAATAAAACAAGATGCTAATTGGATAGATGTAATGGCCTTAGTAGATTCAAGAGAGCAAAAAGTACAATACAATTAGGGTTAACAAATAATAATCTTGAAATAACAAATGAAGGAGATAGAACAATATCTATAATAAGAATAAATCGAAGAGATGTGTTAATTGTAAAATTTTGGGTAATAAAAGATAATAATAATCAATGTCAAATAATTTTAGGAATAGATTTCTTAGAACAAGTAAAACCATGGAGAATACAAGATAGGATTATGATAAATATTAATCATCAAATAATAGTTATTGAAAAGATAAAATTGATATGAAAAATTATATTACATATTGGTAAAATTTAATTATCAAAAATATAGATCTAGAAAATATCATGCTTTAGTTGATACAGGAGCAAATATTTCAGTAGCAAAAGCAAATGTATTACGAGATGAATTATGGAAAAAGAAAAATAAAATATTAAGAATGCAAGGAGTAGGACAAGAAATTAATTGTATTGAATTAGAAGCAAGAGAAATTATGATACAAATAGGAGAATATGAATTGAAGATAAGAAAATTAAATCAATATAATGATAATTCATGTGATGTAATATTAAGAATAGATTTTATAGAACAATATTATCCTTTACATATATTTGAAAAAGCAATAATATTAACAACACATTGTAAACATCAAGCATGGGGAGTAAGAGTAACTAAACCTTGCAGTAGAAGAGATGAAAAATTTCAAAAGAAAACAGAAGATTATGAAGTACAATTTCTGCCAAATAAAAAACTTTTGTATAATAATGAAGTTATAAATTCAATAAAAATGTTAAATAATGCAAAAGAAATTAAAACAATTGAACAATGATTATTAGAAAATTATAGTGATAATCCTTTAATTCATTGGGAAAAATCTAAACCTTTGGCAAAAATAGAATTAAGAGATTATAGTAAAGAAATAAACTATAAACCTCATCAATGGATAGAAAATGATAAAAAGAAATTCATAATGCATATTAATGAGATGAAACAATATGATTTAATAAGACAAAATAGATCTAAATATTCATCACCAGCAATGATTGTAGTAAAACTTATTGAAGAAAAAAGAGGAAAATCAAGATTAGTTATAAACTATAAAAAATTAAATGAATTAGCAATAAGAAATAGATATCCAATTTCAAAAATAGATTTATTATTTAAATTAATAAGAGGAAAAAATATATTTAGTAAATTTGATTGTAAATCAGGATTTTTTCAAATAAAATTAGAAGAAGAAAGTAAGAAATATATTGCTTTTAGTACATCTGAAGGATTATATGAATGGAATGTATTACCTATGGGATTCCATAATAGTCCTGGTATATTTCAAGAATATGTAACAAAATTACTATTGCCAATAAAAGATTTTGCTATCATATATATAGATGATATTTTAATATTCTTAAAAGATAAAGAATAACATGAAAAACATTTAGAACAATTTATAGTTCTGATAGAAGAAAAAGGATTAAATATATCACCTAAAAAAGCTGAATTAAGAAAAGAAAGAATAGGATTTTTAGGACAATACATAACTAATAATGGAATAGAATTACAAGAACATATTAGTAAGAAAATATTAGAATTTGGAGAAATTAAAAATAAAAAAGAACTTCAATCATTTTTAGGATTAGTAGATCAAGCTAGAAATTATATTCCAAACTTATCAAAACTAACTGCAAAAGTAAGTAAATTAGTTGGAGAAAAGACAATATGGATATGGGATAAAGAAAAAGAAAAAATAGTAAATCAGATAAAAGCTTTATGTCAAAATCTACCTAAATTAACTATTCCAGTAAATAATGATGTAATATGGATAATATATACAGATGCTAGTGAAAATTATTGGGGAGCAGCTTTATATCACATCATTGAAAAAGAAGAAGAAGTAATTACTAGATATGCAAGTGGAAAATTTAATTACTCTCAGACTAAATATCATTCTAATTGGAAAGAATTTTTAGCAATAGTAAAAGCTGTACAAAAGTTTGAATTATTTATTGTTAATACCAGATTTATTATAAGAACTGATAATACTCAAGTAAAGCATTGGTTGAATAAAGGAATAAAGACAACTCAGTTATGTAATAAAATGTTAATTAAATGGCAATCAGATATGTCTTATTATGATTATGAGATTAAATATATTAAAGGAAAAAATAATCTTGTTGCTGATTATCTATCCAGATGGAGCCAAATAGAAAGGAGACAAATATGATGATAAGTAGTGGTGGTGGTGGTTCACCTATAGGACCAATAATGACCCCACTAAACCAAGTAATCATGAAGGTAAATATTCTGGAGATGAATATGACCCTTCTTGCTGGACAAGTAAATGCAAATATGCAATCATTATCTGAATCAGTATCTTATCTCAGAGATGAGGTGAATATTTTGACATGTAAAGTGGAGGACTTAGAGAAATCTAAGGGTCCATTATTCCAATCCCCTGAAAGACAAGTAAAATAAGTAATTGAGTCATCTACTCAAACTCCTGAGTCATTATTCCAGCCTCATAGTCCAGAAAAAGCCGGTCCAATAATTCCTTTTACTGAAATAGTGAAAGAAGCCCAAAAGTCTAAAGCCCAAATGGTGACAAAAACACCTCAAAATAGTGCATCCACTTCTACCTCTTCTAGGAGAAGAAGTCCAAGCCCAGTAACTTCACCATCCTTTAAGACCTTAGATCAGTATAATTATTTAAAACTTCTCATTAATAAGACCAACCATTTTGCCCTTCCTAATACCAGTAATATTAAATATGTTTCATATTATTCCTTCAACAAAGTCATTGTTTATCCAAACACTAACCCTGATCTTGTAAAAACCTTGTATAGTTATGGCCTTATCCACTCTATATATTCATTTAATGATATGTCAGAAATATCAAAACTTCCAGAGTCAATTAAGGAAGCTGCCAAACATTATTTTGGAATAGTAACTCAATATCAAGTATTTATCAGGTGTTACTCTACTATAGCAGAAATAACTCTTGACAAGTTCTATCCTCCAATTAATTTAATTAAATTCGGGACAACAAGAAGACCATTTGAATATGATCAAGAAGAAAAAGAAGATATGGATGATGAAGATCTGAGATATAAGATATCTACTATCAGAGCCCAAGAAGTACATATAATTTTTCAGGAGCTCAATAGGACAATTACAGCAGCAGAAGAATAGTGGACATACTTCACTAGCCCAACAACATGTATTTTCTCAGTAGGAAAAAATAGTAGGAATTCAAGGAGCTTCAATAATTGGTACCAAAGACTAAGAAATAATTCAATGGATAATCATGAAGGGACAAAGAAGAAAATATGTCAAGTATTATCAGAATATGCTATCCATAAATGCAAATATTGTGATGAAAAAAGAGAAGCAGACAAGGACTATGAAGACCCTTTTATCAATATGAATATTCTGGATTAGCCTGCCGACAAGAAAAAAGAAGACTGAAGAAGATAGAAGAAGATGGAAGAAGAGAAAGTCAAAAAGACTAAAAACTAAAAAGAAAAGCCTAAGCCTATTATGTCTCTTGTAATAATTATGTCTCTCGTAATAATTACTTTAGCCTTTCATTTTGTCAAAAAGTCTAGGTGGTCTAAGATTAGCTTTTCCATTTTGTCAAAAGTAGTTTTGTCTTGTTGTAATTATTAGAGTTAAAATTAACTAAGGTTATGTAACCAGGGTTGGAATGCCAACTCTATATAAAGCCATGTAATCTCTGAGGCAAGATACATCCAACAAGAGCTGAGAACCTCAGAGCCTCTTTGAGCACTTGAGTTCTCTGCCTCCTTGTAACCTTACCTTCTCAATTTCAATAAAA